GGTCTGCCACATGCCAGCACTGTCGAGGAGAGAGGAGGAAAAAACAGATGAAGGTGGATTAAACAGGTACAACTGAGAAAGGTGCCCTGTAAAGAACCTCTGTACTACTGTAAATACACAACTCGAGCCAGATGCACCAACTTGTCTTGACTAAGCTTGATCCTGAGGTTTCAGCTAATATGAGCCTTTTAAAAATCTTATGCAGCTTGAAACCACCAAACCAAGCACAACTCAGCTATCCACATTAATGTATTGTGAGTAAACCTAGCAGTATGCGCCATCTTGCTAATGTGTCCTTTAGCAGCAAGCTCAGGCTGATAAAACCTTATGAAAAGTAATTTTGTCATTAAAATAAAAAACAAATTGAATTGAATTCAATCTGTAAACAATGTAGGGGATTGCTTCAGTCGGTTATTTAAAAACGCAGAATGTTGTCTTCAGTGACAGAGGCTGTGTGATGATGGCCAACATTTTTACTTTACACCTGCTCTTCACTTGTTGTATGGAGAACTAGCTTTAAGCTTAAGTGGTTGAAGTTGCTTAAAAATCAGCCGATAACACCACGGTATGACATATTTAGCTAAAGAACTGGCCTCAGTTTGGAAGATTCAGCTTTTCCATCATTTAGCCATTGTTCTTTCATATGTCTGACAGTTTGAGAAGGCAAGAGGAAAGAAATCTCCACTGACTAATAATAGGACAAACTGTTCAACGTTTAGAAAAAAGAAACAAAGTGAATGAGCAGACAAACTGGGAACATGTCTGTTATGTTTGTTAAATGTGAAAATGAGGAAGTTAAATTTGTCACATCAGCAGAGAAATACCACACTGCTCTAAGAATCAAACTCTCATAATACACGCTGCCTGTAGCTGCAGAGGACTCTTCAGTGGATTTCAAAGCCATTTTTTCAAAAGATCAACTACTCTAATATTAAGCAACAGAAGTAAAGTGCCAAAACACAAATATCCCAACATTCCAATTCCTTTTATTAAACCGCTGAACTCGTCGTTTCCTTCCAACTCAGGACTGCAAGGTACTTACCAGTACTAATGATTCCAGTGTTTCCCCACACAGACTTTAGTTGGGTGGGCCAGCAAGGTATATTTACTGCCAACCAGGTTTTGGCTGTTCAATCTATCCGGGTTGCCGTTGTTGCAGCCCTCGATATCAATCAGCTGCATCCCTCTACAGAG